AAGTTTTTGAAAGCAAATATACGTAAGAGAAAAGTCGACTTCTTCTTTCTTTTGAGAAACGTGCTTACAAACTTGGCAAACAAATTTCTTTATTGTGACTCCATTACGTGCACACATCTTTGTTGTTATTTGCATTTTAACCCTATTCTGCCACATTCCTAGGCTTACTCAGTTTATATTTTTATATGTGTCTATGTTGCCAAGAGTGGTGTTCACGAAAGGTCATAAGACAGATATAAAGTCTCTGACTCCACCATTTTACTAAAATGATAACACCCGATTTTTGGCTGAGTCGGCAGCACTGTACAATTTCCCTTATGAGATTGCCGACAGCAATACTGCGAATTTACTTGTTGTAGGTAACTCCGAATCAGTAAAGCTATGAAATATTAATATGCCACTTTTTATGTACTTTCTAAAGGCAATTGAACCGCTTCCTCCATATTTCTCTTCGAGATATTCAAATAGCCCGCGCGCCTGAACAGCTGACGTGATGGCAACAAACGTAGAGTACCACGTGTGTATAAAATCTATTAAATTCGTAATAATAGTCATGTGGTTGAGATTCATGACAATAATTATTTGATTTCGTTATAACCGTGGATTATCATCAGGGGGTGTATTAAAATGTAATTTTATTAAATCTAAACTTTGAAATGTGGCTGTGGTAGTCATAGTCGTAAAGCCTCGTAATTGCAACAACTAACAGAAAAATTCTACAACAATCTTGGAGTCATAGTCTGTTTTTAGGACAATTTGCAATTATTAATGTATTCATATGTAACACTATTGTGATCATCCTTATTCCGATTATTAGCGTTTTTGTCATGGTTATTTTTCTCCTTGGCGTGATCTTTCTCCATCAATCGTCTCCGTTACCATCATCGGTCGTCTTTTGTTTCTGTTTAGCAGACGGATTTCCGTAAAATTTCAGTCCTGCTTCAGACGCGATTTTTTTTTTTTTTTTTTTTTGGGGGGGGTAGATAAGATGCCTGTTAATTAACGACCAATTATGGGTTTGTTCACAATTTCAAGTACATATATACTGAAATTATTATAGTTTTCGATAACAGAGGAACTCTGTTATCGAAAACACATCAACCTGGAACAGTCGTACTTTAGCTTTCCCGGTGAGACTTGTTTTTCGAAGCAGTTCAATAGCTGGATACTGGATAAGCGCATGGTAGGTTCTGGGATTCCCAGTAACCTGATACATTGAAACAATATCCAGTACATGCTAATGGATGCACACCAGAATTGCTTCACAATGGTTGCAAAAATATGAATTCCCAGCCGCCCCCGTCCGCATAATCCCGATAGATAGGGACTCGTGGCGCAGGCAGAAATGCAGCGAAAACCATACAAGATGGCTGCATTGTCTTTTTTTCCAAATGGGAATGATGGCTTAAGAGTCCGAGCCACGGAAAAGCATGGGTCGAGCTTGGAGCATGTTTAAGTTGGACATAAACTCTAGTCTATATAATGCAATATTATTTCCCTTTCAGGACAGCACCTGTAGTGGTAAAGGTTTCCGTAGTACAAAAAGTAGGCCTACTGTAGTACACGGCTAGGTCGTCAAAATGAATATAGATACTAAGGACAGAACGTCGGAATCGCAGCCGGAGTATGGCCTTGATAATCTTGTTGGAGGGAATTTGTCGAGTGGCCCCACGGCTGATGCTGAAGGGTAGCCTAAGAAATTCACAAATCTTGATTTTTTTCCACTCTCAAAGAGCCTTGATGGGTCAGTGGTTATAAATCCGCAATCCTGAACTTGGCCCTCTTGAGCGGTGGGTGACGATACCCAAGCCGGCAAAGGCACGCAAACAAACTAAAATGCATTATCACCCATCGCTCTTCAGTCACAGGCAGAAAGTTCTCACTTCCCTTTCCCGTGGCATGAACAATACATCGGCATGGCATAGGATCTTCACCAGAAAACCAAAATGAGACTGAAAAAGATCGCGCATGCACTTTGTCTTGCAGATGAACATTCAGGCTTCATTTTACATACTGGCCCAGATGCACACGACTTAGGACCCGGGCGGGCGGGCCTACGTTTTATCCCTCGAACTTGTTATAGAAACGGAAAAATCCGTGCCGCTTAGCCCGAAAATCATGTGGAACCGTATCCGTTTCTGTAGCTGCAGAAAATCTTTCTGCAGAGACGGACAACCGGAACACTTCCTCGAATCGAATCGAGATCGAGGCTGTCGAACGCAGCCGAGTACTGCCGAAGATGATGACTTGAATTGATTAGGTTAGGTTAGGTTGGTCAGGTTAGGTTAGGATCGGGAACCGGATCCGTGCCTCCAAGAAAGAAAATAATCGTTTCTATAACCCTTGTGTTCAAAATCAGGGACGTCATGTTAACGCCGAGAAGACTGTCTGACTCTGGCTGTCACGCGGAGGAGAGCGTCCACCAACCCACCAATAGATCCCAGGACTGCAACGAAGCACAGCGGGAGAGAGAGCAGGTCAAAGGGCGTTTCCCGAGGCACGTCGAAGATTCTCGTCATATTAGTTCCCTGCTTGCAAGAGCTTGACTCTCGGAGGAGGACTCTCCCATCAGTGTCCGAAGAGAGGAGTCCTCATGTTCGACTAAGCTGACAGAATGGGAGTTAAACTGTGTGTGTGTGCGTATGTATGTATGTACACACACACACACACACAATTATATACATATATATTTATTTATGTATAATTATATATATATATATATATATATATATATATATATATATATTATATGTATATATATATGTATATACATATATGTATATATATATATATATATATATATATATTTACGTATATATATTATATATATATATATATATATTATATATATTGTGTGTGTGTGTGTGTGTGTTTTCTGTTGTGTGTGTGTGCGTGTGTATGTGTGTGTGTGCATATATATATAGACACATGTATATATTTATTTATCTTTTTTATATGAATACAGACATTTTGCGTAATACGAGTTGCACACATCAAGTTTTCACTTAGATATAATTGAAATTTATGGAGAAAATATTTTTTCCCGTAAAATGAAATTTATAAGTATACCATACAGAAGCAGGGCTTCCATGGTGGCACGGGGGGGGGGCACCCGTCCCCCTGCACTCTGATTGGCCACCTCATATGCCCCCCAATGGTCATTGACTCTTTATATATTAATATACGACATTTATATATTGATATACAATATATATATATATATATATATATATATATGATATTAACTTATATTGATATATAATATACGCAGAAAACATAAACAATGTGTATCTGTTCAATATTAAGGCAGCCTTAATTTTGCGGTCCCCCAGGTTTATAGTTGTTACCCCCTGTGCCCCCTACCAGAAAATTCTCTGGGCCCGCCCCTGATACCATATGATAATAAATGATGGAGAAAATAGTGCTTAGAAAGAGTAATAGAAAAATATTATAGAAATTGTGTCTGCAGAAAAGAAGAATAATCAGACACTAAGAATCAGTAAATAGTCAGATACTAATAATTGGTGAAATATTACCCGCTTGGTAACTCAAAAAATATGAATAATAAAGGAACAATTTAAAACCGTTTATGCTCGTAGCTCCTGAACCGGACCAGACCAAAACAAGCGATGGCGGAGGCTCTACCATGCGACTTCGATGTTTGGTTAAAAGACACTCTAATTTCACTAAACACAGATGACGAAATTTTCAGCCCATATATCAAGGGGATCTTAGAAGGAGAGGAGAACAAAGAGGAAAAGGTGGAAGCTCTACAGGGAATTCTTGCGGAGATAACGGTATGATGAAAAATGTCTATTTTTGTAGTTTACGGGGAAATGCTATTTTCTCGTATAATGATTTATATTTATGCTATTTGGAATTAATGCCAGAATTTACAGGATTTATTTAAGGGTTACTTACGTGTAGGATGAGATATAATAATATATAATGTGCACTTGATTTTATGGATATGTCTTTGACCGGCAGTTGAAAGTTTGCATAACATTTGGTAATTTTACACAATTGTTCTGGTACAATATGCAGAACGAGGTACTGCCTGAGTTGGGAGATAAAACTGTTAATTTTTCAGTGGATAACAATCAAGGTTACAATTTAAAAAGTGTATGGAATGATTACCTTGACATAAACTAAGACACTCTTCATCTAGGGCATAAGGTGTGCAGATAGAAAATAAAGGAGATACATGACAGATAAGAGAGAAGATCGACCCATCTATTTCTAAGTCCCTCACCATGTTGACATCACCAATGTAAACAAAATTATGATCAGTTAATTTAAGTTGCTTGAGTTCAGTTTTAGTAAATGACAAGTTAATTATGAATGCAATGAAATGCGGCTTTTCAGAAATGCGAGCCAAACTTCCTATTTATGAAGATGAAAGAAATGTGACTTTTTGGAAATGCAAGCCAAAATTTACATATTCTAGAATTGAAAAAATATGACATTTCTGAAATGTGAGTGTCCAATTATGCCGCCATCTTTATATACGAAAGCGCTAATGCACACGGTAACCAACACAAAATTTACTCAACTATCCAAGTTACAGTGACTGGGCAAAAACTGCCTGAGGGGAGGGTTGATGGGGGGCTCTGCCCCCCAACACCCCCTGGGAAACATTCTCTTCACCTCGGTATGCACGGCAGGATAGAGCTGAAATAGTTTTAAAAATTGCACTGCACTGGTGTAGCCAGAAATGTGTGTGTTAAGTATCAACTGTATTTAAATAGTTTGGCAATTAAGGATATTAATGAAACATTAGTCGACAGTCATGTGCATTTTTGTGATATGGTATATGGAGTATTATACTTGAACTTTAATGAGCAATTAAAAATCTCTGCTAAACTGCTGCCTCCTGATTGGTCGTGAAGTAGTGGTGATGTAGGTGCGCAGTAGGACAGAAGACGTTGTGCAAGTTGCGCGGCAACTTGTTCTTTCACAGCGAGTGAGTGGACTTAGCCACTGGAGCACTGAGTGTACCTTTTTCCTTTATTTGTGGCGTTACCATTCGTGTCTGCAGATTATTTCTTGTACCAATCACTATTACTTTTTGTCCTCTACAAGAGTATTGTCTTCAATTTGCCCTAACGTAGTACAGCCATACCGTACAGATTTTCCCTCAGCTCTCCTCAACGAAGCATTTGCATAAGAAACAACACCAAGAATTGTTGAAATCAGTGGATTTCCTGTGGATAGATATCAAAATTGTTTCGAAAGTGAGCCACTACCCTGTTCTATATATTGACTGAAATTATTATACGGAAACCCCTCAAACCACCACACTGTCGGCCCTGATAGGGACCAAGAATGGGAATAGGGGTTTCCTGATGATTTTTAGTATTGAGTCTATAATAAGGGTATAAGCTTACTGCTGAGGGGCCATCTCCTCTGCATGAATGTGGCCAGGGGCAAACGAGTGTATAGATGTTTAGTCTGCATAACTAAAAGCAGTCTCAACCATCACATTATATGAAACCAGCATCTTAGTGGGTCCTATTGCTGTGACATGTTAAGACATCATCTGGTGTCTCCCAGTGTGATGGGTTAACAGAAGAAGGAGAAAAAAAAAACAGTATAAATTACCGATAATGATGCACAGACTTGGAAATGGACAATGCCATCTTATAGAGCACAAGAGATATAGTCTAAAATAACATAAGTACAGCTGCAGTGGCCCCATATTTATTGCAAAATAATGAAAATATCCACTGTATATCACTGCTTAGAGACTAACTCCACAGCAACCTTTTTACTGTCCATTTCCTATAAGTTGACATGAAGTGCTAATGTATCCCATGTCTAGGGAATAAGTTGGGAGTTTGGGTTCGCATGATACCCTGGTTTTGGGACTTAGTCTCTGGAGGGTGCATTACTCTCAGTAACAGTTACTGAAAAAAAAAGGTCTTCCCATAAGAATACCATTTTGATGTACCTTCCTTTTCCATGCCATACATCAAGCAGTCATGCATTCGTGAGATCATTATATTTTGTTAGCATCCTTTTGTCTCGGAAGACAATGGAGTTTTGTGCCCATGATCAGTTTGTACATGATCTGCAGCGTCTGCTGTGACTGAATAGTCTGGTTTGTGAATCTCAATCTCAATCTCAAAGTTTTATGCGTCGGGCGCTAAGTGAGCGCATAACATGCATATTAGTATGACAGATGCTGTTGCAGTTGCTACAGATAAAGTTATAGGAGTTGGTGTTGCCTGGTGTGGATGGCAGTCTCTGTCAGTGAAGGTGGAAGGTATTCAGTCTACGCTCTTGGTGGCAGTACAGGGTCCATATCATGCTGCTGTAAAGAATGGCACTCAGGCCACAGGCTTGGTACACTTTCATCTTGGTGTTTAGCATGGTGTTGTTCCATACAATTTTTGATAGATGGCCCATGGCTGTTGCTGCCTTCCCAGTCCACACGTTAAGCTTGACTTTCAGGCAGAGATGGTGGAGCTGAGATATGTGAAGTTGTTGACAACTTCAAGGATATTGACCCCTTCCTCCTCAATGTCAGAAATTTTTGTGTTTTGGCCACCCAGCCAAACACTGTCACTCCACAGCCCGCTGCCCTCTGTGTGCCCAACCTGGTCATGACTCTCCAAATTGCCCTGCTCAATCACGTACATGTGCCAGTTGTGGTGACTCCAATAATATATTTTATAGGAGCTTGAATGTGAGGAGCAGTTCTCAGATTCAAACTAGGCCCCATCCTACGTGAGGCTAGACAGGAAACAGAACAATGAGGCTTTTCTATCTCTACCTATTCTTACCTCTCCCACCTGAATACTCACGTGAATTCTTTCTGTTGCAACAGTGTCCTCCCTTATTCCTCCCCTCCTGATGCTCTTCCTGATACTTCACCTCCATCCCCAGTCCCTTTATCTCATCCCCAGATTCTTCTCTTGCTACGTTTCCAACAGCTATCTCTACCTGTATTACCCACTAAATACTTTGTAATAGCTCTTTTACCAGTTTTCTGTAAATCATAACAGATAAACTCCATTTTATCCAATCACCCTATGCCCTTAGCCCTTTCCTTTACTAATCTCTGATTTACTTCATTTGCACCCCCATTTTATCCTTTTCCCTGTCATACTATCCTATATCACTCTATAACCTTTGACATTTAACCTGTGAGGTCCATTTGGAAGCCAATAATCACATTTTCCGGGCAGTATCAAAATCAGAGTGCGGACCATTCCGGGAACCAACCACAGGCGACAAAATCGCTCCAGTATAGCATTGTACCGGTGGGACAGCCGGCAATGTTTATTTTTCCAGGTGTCACATATGTGTGACTACCGTCGCAATTGGGTTAACACTTTATCCTAATTGTTAACTCATTTTTTCCCTTTTTGCCACAATACTTTACCATAGTGCTACATGACCTTAGATGTCTAGCACATACATTTTTTCAATCATTAAACATTACTATTTCAGCTGGTCTGGAACATGGTAGTTACCTGATTTGAAGTGGTCAGAAAAGTAAAGCAAATAAAGACATTTTCAAGGCAAAAAGTATTTTTGCATATAACAAATCCAGAAGGGGTATTGATGTGCAGATCACTTTTCAAATTATTAAATACCTCTCAGAAAACAAAAATATGGTACAGAAAGTTAGCCATGGAAGTTCTTACTGGAATCATAGTTGTAAATGCTCAAGTATTAAACAGATGATAGGTCAGAGAATCTCTGGTGCTATCACTGTCAGGTCAGCTAGATCTTTGCTAGTTGCAAATATCTGTCATTATCAGTTTTGTAGGTTTTGTTTATACATTTGATCAATAAAACTGCCAAAAGATACAGTTAATGAACTTTAACTGAATAAATTACAGCTGAAAGTTCCAGCAGAAAAGAATGAACATTATACAAATAAACATTTCTCCAGGTATTGAAATCATCATCACATCATCATTTTACTTTTTTCCAGGATACTGGAATTGAATCACTCTGTGATGACATCTTGAAGAAATGGACCCTGCTTGCAGAACCGGAAGAGCCCTCAGATACCACGAAAAAGGTTTGTTGAGAAGCTGTGTTATGGTTTTAACCAGAAATAGATTTGTGAGCTTGGTTTCTGGATACTCACAATTGTTGTGTTTGGAGCACTTCAGAAGGCAAGGAACATGTTAGTTTTGTCAGATTTTTTCACTCTCATTCACTTTTTGCAGGGATACAGTAAATTCTAAAATGTTTTTCTCTTCTTTCCTCTCCTCTCCTCCCCTTGCCTCTCTCGTATTTTAAGGCCTATACTAGTCATCAGCTTATTATGCTTTGTACACTTATTATGTTCTTGAGGTAGTATGAAAATACATTTTAAATTCTGATAATTGTAATAGAAAAATAAAACAATAAAGTAAGGAGTAGAGGAAGATGACATTTGTTGGCTGGCTAGCAGGGTCACATTGCACCCGCTGCACACAGTCATCCGAGTCATTTATTTATCTTGGTTAATAGATTATGTGTAGTTTTAGTAATTATAACAATGATTATCATCATTAGTCACCAAATAGAGTAATAAAAAAACACAGCACACCACTCTCCCCTGCCATCACTTACACATTGATGACAGTTATCAACCATATGTTCACAGCTGTTGTCAGTACCAGAATTCAGCTGTCATTGACTTGTAGACACCCACTGGCACTGGATTAAAGTTGACTTCAATTATTTTGTTACAGGGATTTTACATCAATGTCAATTTTATAGGTTTATGGTCTTCACTCCATGTGTATGGTTTTGTTCTATTTTTTTATTTGTTAACTACATGCCACTGGGGATGGCATGTGCATACATGCCATGCCCACTATGTGTTCAATTTTGTAATTGTTTTTACATATAGATGGCTCCACAAGTACTAAGTCCCCAATGAGCCAATTACTACCTGTCTTGCCTGTTTACCCTTTTCCTTGATTTTTTATAATATTTTCTGGTAATTGATATTGCTGTTAGTAATGTCAATAACAGTATACTAATTATGATGTTTATGATAAAAATAATAGTATCAGTGTTATTAGTGAAACAAATGTTTTTCCAAAAAAATCAAGGAAAGGTGAAATCAGGGGAGGTCATAAGGCCTACTAATTGACTCCTTTGTGGCTAAGCACTGGCAGAGCCATCTATATGTAGAGACATTTCACAGAACAATATTACAGTGAACACCACATTTTCCTAGGGACATTGGGTTGATTTTTATTATTATTATTATTATCATCATTATTGTCTGGTCACAGAAACTGTGATAAGACATTCCATTATACCATATATACTTTGTCATAAGGTATTGTAATATTTATCATATTTTGGAAGAGGCTGAGACCAGTGTCATCTCTATATTTTTTCAAAGCTTATTCCTCTCAGTATTACCAGTTTACTTCCTTTCCCCCCTATTTTTTCTTAATCTCTTATTGTATCACTTAGGCTGAGATGATGTTCTTACTCCTTGTTATTTCATGCTGATTGAGGCTCTCCTGTGTATTTTCAGGTTGAGTTTGAAGAAAAGATTGCCAAGATTATGGAGGAGCAGGCTCAGTGCGTAGTGGTGAACAAGACGCGCTCCAAGGAGGAAGAATCCCTGAAGAATGCCATATTGGCACAGTATGCTGAGGTGATTTGTTGTTGTTGTTGTTGTTGTTGTTGTTGTTAGTTATTACTAATCATAGTATTTTTGTGGTGCAGTACTACAAGTTGTAAAAAATATGAATTGAATAACATATTGCCTCTAGGCTGGCAAAAATGACAAAAGGCCTAAGCTCTGGGTCCACATATCATCATGATGGCATTTGATAATATGAGGCCTTTGTGCTCCCCCCCCCCACCCTGGTATAAGATACCAGTAATACTTATTATGGATGTGAATCACATAAACACATTTTTATTATTTTTATAGGTTTGTAGAATAATTGTGCATTCAGTAAAAACAAGAAAAATACAAAAATTATTGGATTAACCCAATAATGCCAGGTAAAGAAATTAGCAAGTGGACATGATTGCAGGGTTTATTTTTCAATAGTTTGCAGGCAATATTAGTCACCTAAAACCTTGTATTTTGATACAGTTTTTTAGAAATATATTTTTGAAGGTTTATCCATGTAAATGATGCCGCTACTATCAGAGTAAAACAAGCTCCGTCCAATAAGCTGACAGCGCAAGAAGGGTCATGTTTGATGCCAATTGTTACTTTGTCCACAACAGCCATGGCATAGTCTTACGTGCCACCTGGCAGCGGGATGTGGTTGAGGGGACTGTCAGAGTTTTTCAAAAAATGTTCTCTTGTTTTTTATACAAGGAATTTTAAAAGTCATGCCCTTTTCTTGCTCAATATCAAAAATCTTAATTCTTTAGCAAATCATTTCATAACTTTGATTAGAAGCAAATAAGTAAGGCAATTTTTTTTTGTAAAAGTTGGGTGTACCATGGACCTTTTTCTGGACTTGATTCTTTCCTTATGAATTTTTGTTTCTTGAATAGAAGAAAACCATGTAAATGGCAACAATACAATTATTTTTATATTTCTATTAGAATTTGTTTATGTTACTTTACTACATAGGTCAATTTTATAGGAGAAAAGGGCATTTTGATTTAAACATTTTTATCAGCTACAAAATGAGGCATAATGTGTCTAAAAATGGGTCCAAAAAGATTTCACCATACAATTGATTCCTATTTTAACATTTTGGCAGTTGAAGGTTTTTTATTTGATATTCTAGATATTCTATAAATGAATGACTGAGAGTATAACAAAATGCATTTCAGGAAAAAAGTAAATTCAGTAGGGAAATATGCCTAGGTGCTTAAATTTGATTTATAGTTGCTGTTGAGTAGGCAGCTATTCATGCTCAAATTTCTTATTTTATACCATTCTGTTTTATTCATAGTGTCTAGTGGTAATATAAGATATGTATCACAAAAATAGAGAGAGAGATAATGAAATATAGAAGGATTTATAAATGTATATAATTGTTACATGACAATCAAGAACTAAATTTTTTTTAATGTATAAACAGTGGAGTGCTCAGTGGGGAATCAGTAGAAATAGAGTTGGTGGTTGACTTTGCCAGGAGTGGGGAATAGAGCATTAAAAACTAGAGATCTGTTGTAGTCTCTGATTGGAAGTGAAGTGCCATTTTTTTCCTTCCTTTCTTTTGTTTTATATTCTTTCCTTCTTTTTGTTTGTTTGTTTGTTGCTTGCTTCTTTCTTTCATTTCTTTTTTTCTTTTTCTTTCTTTCTTTCTCTCTTGCTCTCTTCTTTCCTTCCTTCTTTTCTTTCTTTCTTTCATGCTCCCTATTTCCTTCCTTCCTTTTCTTCCTTTATTTCTTTCCTCTTCTCTATATTTAATACTTATTGTCTGCCCTTTCTTTGATGCAGAATCTCCCCAAATTTGACAGTACATTCAGAAGTACAAAATATTAAGTTCAAGATATAAAGAATTATGTAAACTAAATATTCACAGCAAAACTTCAGTTAGACATCTACTCAAAACAAGGCAGTCAACCTATTTTGAAAATTACTAAAAAAATAAAATCACTTTTAAGGGGTAACATTACAAGGGTTATAATCCCCTAAGTACCAAACTTTGGGGTAATACCTGTAACAGTGAGTCTCAAATGTAAAATGAAATATAAGTTGTTTAGTGATATCCTATGCAATCATACTGTAATTTTGTAAAAATCATAATGATGTTTTACATCAAAATGGTAATGTGTCTGGGGGCAAAACCGCTCTCATAACAAAGGAAGACAGAAAAGCATGATAATGATAATTATTTTAATGATAATGATCACATTGATTAGTAGTAATAGTAGGTGGTAGATTTATGGTAAACTAATCAATTTCATGTCAACAGGTATCTGATGGTGAATGCAGTGATGAGGAGGAGGGCGAACAGTCAAGCCAAGGAGGTCTAATGGGAGTGAAGAACACGAATGCAGAGGAGGTGATCAAGGCAGAACGTGAGAGGAGGGAGAAGAACAAAGAGGAGTCACAGCGCAAAAAGGAAAAGGATAAGGAGGATAGGTAAGCGAGGAAGCTATATAATGTTTCATGAATTTTAGCATGAAATTGAAGTTATAAAAGGCCCTTGTACTTAACCTGTTGGATCCGGTTGCATCATGGCAATCACATGGCTGAAAATATGGGTGTGAGGTTACGTAAGTAGCTGCTTAACCGGGTGTGTGGCACGTAAGCCAAGCAGATGCAAACACTCATGTGTGGTGAAAAGACTCTATGCCTCCCCTTTGCAAAGATATTTTGCATAAACTATTTTAGTTTTATTGCCATTTCCCAGTGCCAATATTTGTCTTTTGATTTACTTTATCCACATATATTAAATATGGATATTTTATATTTTCCGTACACAGAATCCATATCATCTCTCTTAGTATTATAAAAACTCATTGCAAGAAAAAAAATTATGTAAAATTTTGTTATAAGTGTCATATATAATTTTTTCGTAATATTTCATTTCCCATAATACAACGTGCTGCCTAGTTTATCGGTGGGATTAATGCAATGGCCCCCTTGTATATGCCATATGAACCTAATCACACTCCAATTTTTTTTTTTTTTTCCATCAACTTGGCCTTTGCTCATAATGGCATGTTGGCATCACCTGGCCTGTGCCCATTTTTGTCCCATGTTGGCATGTTCACATCACATTTCTCATGACCCAAATTATTTCATGACAGAATTGTTATGTCACCCAGATCCAAGATGTTAACCCACTAACGACTAGTGTTCCATATGTGAGACACCTGAAAAAATAAACATTGCCAGGCGTCCCGCTAGTGTGACGCTGTATTGGGGCTCACGCTCTGACACAGCAGCGGCCGGCAGCCAGCGGGCGGACAGAGTCCGGGGCAGCTCCGCATGCCGATTTTGTAGTCGCCCGGAATCTTTTATTTTTGGCTTCAAAATACGTCAGCGTTAATGGGTTAAAAGATTATTGCATACCCAAAATTAGCCTGGATTTTTATTTGATCATATTCCTTGATGCCAAATATGAAACTAATCCAATAATACTTTCAAGTCTTCCTGTCCTGAAACCAAAATGTTTCTGTGCCATTGTCCATGGAACAAACTTTAATGGGCTGTGTTCACGTTTTAAGGAATTGTGCAAAGTTACTCCCTGGTTAATGTTTCTTATTTTGGAGGTTTGACATAAGACAGTAGGCTGTAGTTCCTCAATCCTTTCTCTTCAACCAGACTTGCAACACATTTACACTAAAATGAGCAAAGCATGTACTCAATCAAGTCATTCATGTTGAAATAGCAATTTATTATGCGTCTTAGGGGCCTTGATCTATTGTTTTTGGATATTTCTTCCTAATGCATAACTATATAAGTATAGGACCTAATGACAGTCTGTTTCACATCCTGCCCTAATTTTTGGCACTATAATGCACTGTTAAATGTACTTAATTATGACTTTTATACCATTGTATCCACATGTACTCAGCCATTGATTGCGTCTGATTTTCAGATTCCTTGAAATAGTGTTTTTCATTGTCATTATTCTTATAGATATTATGATTATTAAATAATTGTGGAAAAATAGATAACATTAAAGTTTTCCAAAAACCAAGGAAAGGTGTAAACAGGTGAAATAAATAGGGCTAATACCTGACTCCTTGGTAACTAAGCACTTACGGAGCCATCTATGTGAAAGATAATAAATGAATTTATATTACTGTAGGCAGGCAAGATTTCTTGCCAAATAGAGTGATGGGCTAATCTTTCACAGCAGTCTTAACTTTTTTATGGGGTCAAGATTGTTATTTTTGTAACTTGTAAACCAATTGTCATGTGTTGATATAACAAATGGTATTAGAAAGGAAATACTTTTAACTTTCTTTTGGTGAATATGATAACCATTAGGCTTGAATGGAGACTCTCCTGGTTGTGGAGTGTAGGCGTGGGCTACACGAATACTTGTGTGTATTGTTAAGACTCCTTGCATCTCCCTTTCAGTATTATTATCTATTTTTCTGCACATGTGGTTGAATTTTGCCAATTTCTAGTCTATAATTTTCATTTGTTATGTTATATTAACCCAGTCACGCTGGGTACATTTTGTAGCCAAAATTTAAAAAATCTGGGCGGCTACAAAATCGGCGGGCGGAGCTTCCCCGGAGTCTGTCCTCCCACCTGGCCGCGCGCCGCTTCTGCCTCGGAGCGCAGCCCCGAGACAGCATCGCACTGGCGGTCAGCCCGACATTGTTTATTTTTCCCGGTGTCTCATATATGTGACACCCGGGACGAATGGGTTAAGATGGTAGTAATCTTTTCCTTTTACAATCTCTACACCATCTCTGTAGCTAGTTTATAACTCTGTGTAATAACAATAATAATGAGTAACATTTTCTAATTTGTGCCTTTTTAAAGATATTTTTGTGATATTCGATTTTCTGCAATACATCCTGCACCACCAGTCACGGCAGGCAGGAATTGGATCCTGAGCATGGAAGTAGTGTCCTCCCTTGAGCTTATGCTCTTCCAGTCATGACTCCTGGACTTGTTTATAGATAGAAATAATGCTAGAGCCCCTTCCTAAACACCCACTTAATATAATCACCTTCTGAGAACTTTATGCATGCGTGGAGAGTCATTCCTGTCACAACAGCCTTAACCCAAATTTTTTCTTGACAGCATATTTCCACCACTGGCATATTCCTGGCATCACAGCCCTAAATATTTTTCATTGATGAAAAATGGTCACATCACAGATCCAAGGGTTAATGATATACTGTTATAAGTGACGATTTTTGATGCTTAAATGGTTTTAACCCCTACAATCCAGATGACATGACCATCACTTCATGAAAATATTTGGCCAGAGAGGCGGATGTCGGGAACATTCCATCATGGGAAAAGTTGATGGGAAAGACTCGCCACAAGTTCTTCATATGCTGTATAAATATAGATCACTTCGTAAGTTAAAACATATTACCAGGGAGTCTCGATGGAATCATATTTCATGTGCTAAA